TTTTTTTTTTTTTTGTTTTCTTTTTTTTTTTTTTTTGGTTTTTTTTTTTTTTTTTTTTTTTTGGTATTATAGATCATCAAATTTTTTTTTTTAACATGATCTGGTTAAAGGTTTGGCATGCAGAAAGAAATAATAAAATTAAAAATATGAAACTGTAAATTTATTGAATTATAATATTTAAAGAGCAATTATGATTAAAGGTTAGAGTATACAAATTTACACAAAAAAAAAAAAAAAAAAAAGTTTTTTTAATATTTTAGTTGTTTTTTTTACCTTATTCTTTCTCCTATTTGTATTAAACATTTTCTTTCAAATGTAAGCTGTTTTAGTTGCTTCGTTTATATGCTAATACATTCTCTGCTTTAATTCTATATAATATATAAACAGAGATTAATTCTTTGGCCAGTTATTGCCAGTTAGAGTTTATTAAAGTTCCGCTGGTTTCAAGTCAGTAATTTTGCTTGTTGTTTGTGCCGGGAGGAATGCCGACCCCCCGACTCCAACTTGTTCAACTCGAAAAAGTAATTTAATTTTGTTATATTTAAAAAAAATTTTTCGTTTTTTTTTTTTTTTCACTAACCTCTTATCACTTTCTATGGCCGTTATCCCTTTTTTGAAGCAATTCCAACTATTTTGTTTGATGGAAATCGAAACAGCCCTTGCGCTTTTTCTTTTGTTTAGGTTGTAGATCCTTTGGCTGTGATCCAGGAATGGGAAAACTCTTTTTGACATTAGATCGAAAGGAAAAAAAGGGAGTAAAAAAGTGTCAAGCTTACTTTTTATTTTTTAAAATTGCTCTACAGTTGCAAAACTAATTTAAGCCAGAGACCAACCAATTGAAGGATTTTATTTTAAGGAACAAACCAATCTGCAAAACAGTTTCATATGTTCATTAACTGAAAAACTGAAAATAGATAATTTTTAATTTTGTTTTGAGCTTAGCTTATAATGCCCCTTGTTATACATTATTAAACATGCATGCGTAATGTATATATTTTGCGCATTCATATGCAATAATAAATGCCATATGGCGCATTGCATAACGTATTATGTGCATGTGTAAACGCTACGCCAAGGCGAAGAGAAGGAGAAAGAAAGTGGGGGGAGCGGGGAAGTGGGGGGGGGGCGGAGGGGGGGGGGGTGGGAGAGGGGTGGGAGGGGGAGAAGGGGGGGGGGGGGGGAAGGAGGGGGAAGGGGGGGGGAGGGAGGAGAGGAGGAAAGAGGGAGGGAGGGGGGAAAGGGGGGGGGGGGGGGAGGAGGGTGAGGGGGGGGGGAGGAGGAAAGCGGGGAGGGGGGGGGGAGGGAAAAGGGGGGAAAGCGGGGGGGAGGGGGGGGAGTAGGGGAAAAAGGGAGGGGGGGGGAAGGGGGGAGGGGTAGGAGGAGGAGGAAAAGGAGGAGGAAGGAAAGGGAGGAAAGGGGGAGAAGGGGAGGAGGGGGGGGGGGGAGGGGGGGGGGGGGGGGGGAAAGGGGGAAGAGGTGAGGGATGAAAGAGGGGGAGGGGTGGGGAGGGGGGTGGGGAAAAAGGGGGGCAGGGGGGGGGGGGGGGGGGGGGGGGGGGGGAGAAGGGGGGAGGGGGGGGGGGCGGGGGGGGAGGGGGGGGGGGAGGGGAGGGGGGGGGTGTGGGCGGGAAAAGGGAGGAGGGAGGGGGGAGGGGAAATGGGGGGAGGAAGTGAGGAGGGGGGAGGTTAGGGAGGGGGGGGAGGGGGGGGAGGGGGTAGGAAAAAGGGGAAGGGGGGTAGGGAAAGGCGAGGAGAGGGGGGAGGGGGGGGAAACAAGAAACAGGGGGGGGTGGGGGATTTTTTAAATTTTTTACAATTTTATATTTAAATTTTTTTTATTTTTATTTGTTTTTTTTTTTTTTTTTTTTATTTCTTTTTTTTTAATTTTTTTTAATTATTAATTTTTTAACTTTTAACAGACGTTACGGAGCTAATTTATTATTGCAGTTACACAAAGCCAGGCTTTTTTTTTTTAAGAATGTTGCCAAGGCTTTTTTTTTTTCATTTTAAAGAATTGAGATAGTCCAAGCAATACATTTCTTTTAGTTGTTTAGTTTCCAAAATTAAAATTAATAAGTTAATACTTTGGAATTTTTAATGTTGCTGCCCTAGATTAGGATGCCGAATACTTTCCACACCCGTCCGGTGATTTTCTCTGTTTTCCTTTTTGCAAATTGCCGCAAAGCACTTCTTTCCAGTTTTCATAGGGGGAAAAAAAAAGCAAAAAAAAAAAAAATTAAAAGAGAAACAAAAAAAAAAAAGGAAAAACAAACTGAGGGAAAAAAAAAGGAAATAAGAAAAAAAAAAAAAACAAAAAAAAAAAAAAACGTGTATGGATTTAATATTCATACACAATAAAAAATTCTAATTTCATTAAGAGAAAAAAAAGAAATCAAAGTACATTTTAAACAAAAACTTTATATGTATAGAAGTGATTAAGTTGAAAAGAAGTAAGTGAAAATTCTTAAAATTTTAAAATTAGTATGACCAAAATAAGATGCATAAATAATAAGATGAGAATGTGAAAATCGTCAAACGACTATATTTAAAAAAGGGGCAGGAACTATATCTATTATCACATCTTTAAAAATCTTGCACATAAAATTAGAAGTTCTATGCATAATATTGTTTATACAAAAATACTTAACTTGATTCAGGTTTACATTTTTTATACGTGTGCATTGGTGTTTCACACATATTTTTGATTTAAAAGATTTTAATTTATTTAAAGGACCTTTTCCAATTGATTCGAAAAGAACTGGAGGAAAAACTTTTTTAATTGATTTTTTAAGAAGCAAATTTGTAGTAAAATTAGATATTACGTACCCATGAAAAAAAAATTTTGATTGAAGTCATTAAATTATTGTTTTATTAAAATGAAATTAAGTCTTCCGATTTCGCAAACGGATGTTATCCACAAAAGTTCTACAAATGTTCGCTTGCCAAATCATTTTTTTAAAGATTATTTTATATATTTTGTTATATAATGGAGCGCGACGGACAACAGATGGCTTGCTATTAATGGTATTATTATCTCCATTTAATAAAATCCAAAGAGAAAAAAGAGGAGAAAAAAAAATAATAACTTTAAAATAAAGCTTGCTTTTAAAACCTGTTTATCACCGCATTTCGGAATATTTATTAATATATATAGATATATATATTTAAAAAATTAGAAAAAAAAAATTTTGAATTTCAATTTAAATTTTTATTATTGTTTTGTTATTATTTTTATTTGATGTGTTTTGCAAAAAAAGGATAGCATTATGTTTTCTTCGTTAAAATTTTATTTTCTAATGTGGTTTTTTATGTTTTATAGCTATTACTTTGAGTTCTTCTTCTCTATTTCACTAATTCCAAATTACGGATTACCAAATGTTTACTTTTCTATTACAAATTTAGTTTGAATGAGAATTAAAATGCATATAAAAAGCCTAAAGGTTGTCGGGGGGGGGGACGGGGGGGGGACATTACTTCAAGTATTTTATCAATAAATACCTACATAACTGAATTTTCACTCAAATTATTGGAATTATAATAATAAGCGAAAAGAATTTGCTTCTGTAATTAAGGATGGAGTTCGGTGGTGCTTATACATTTGATTCTAACTCCCCCAACACTTCGGTTGAACTATTTGGGCCAACTTAATTGCCAGTTGTGGCATGGCATAACAATTATTACTTGAGTAAAAGATGTTGTATTTGTGATATGAAACACCTTGTATTTATTAAAATTATTTGTTCACTGCAACGGGCGGAAGTAGCGAGCGAGTTGTGAGGAGTGGAGTATTTTTGTTCCCTTGAAAAGTTCATAACTAATTTCCGATCAAAGCACTTAATACTTGCTTTTTTTTAATTTTCTTTTTCAAAGTTTGATTTGATTTGAAATTGTAATTCCAGTGATTGAATTCAAGTCCCCGTAAACACATTTTTTTAACAATTTATATTCAAGTTGCTTTTTTTTTTTTTTTGTTGGTTTTGTTAGGGTAAATCACAAGGGTCGGAAAATGATGGGTAGGAATTGGTTGAAAGTGTTTAGGGAAAATATTTGCAAGTATTTATTATTGGATTTATTAAGTGATGATTTTGTAATGATTTTTTGATTTAATATATTTTAATTTGAAGATTAATTTTTTATTATTAATATTTATTTTATTTATTTTTAAGAATATTAGGCTGTTTTTTTATTTAAAATTTTAATTATTATTTTTGATTTTATTTTTTTTTGAATTAATTTATTTTTATTTATTTTTATTTTTTAAAATTTTAATTTTTTTAAAATTTTAAACTTCTGCATTATGGGTCCTCTTTTTAGATTACTCTATTTAAATTTAATTAGGAGATAATATAATCAATATTTCTTTAGTTAAATATAAATTATTTATATCTTACTTTGCAGCTCTTGTGCAAGGTATTAGAAAACTTGTTTTCAACTAAGTAAAAATTCAGAATTTCATGACAATATATATTATATATTTCATTAATTAGCCAGATTTGGAAACTGCCTTCAGTGGATTTACTGCAGATGGGGGGCAACAGAAAAGAATACAGTAAAAAAGGAACAATTATAAAAATGGCATACATGTTTTACCTAAAACATATTAAAATTAAAAAATCATTGTTAGTTTTAGTTTGTTAAAGTGAGAAGTTAGTTCAAACTCGGGCATTAATTTTTATAAAAAAAAAAAAAATAAATATATAACAATAATATGAATAAAAATTTCTTTTTTACGGCATATTTTAATATTAACTTGACTTCATTCCAAAATAAGATTACTAAAAAAAATTCATCCAGTGCTAGAATTAGAAATGCGTGCAATTTCATTTTCAATAGCTTGGGTTTTGATCAATGATAATAACCACATGAAGCATATCAGAATCTATATTTTTCAACAGTCTTTATTTGAATGTTTAAAGGTTTTTGTAATTTTATTGTACAATCTACATGTTCATTATGACATTCTTAACAAGATATAAATTAATATACTTAGAATAAATTTACCTTTCGAAATTTACATAATCTAACCAGACACGAGCTTCTTCTCGATGGCCATGATCAATAAGCTCTTTCCAAAGATTTCGAGCATTTTCAACGTCTTTCTTGTACTTAACCTATAAAAAGGAAGGTGATGTGGAAAAATTTTTTATTAAATCATCAAAAATTAAAAAACCTACTGCATTCAAATTAAAAAAAAAAAAAAAATCTCGATATTCACTTCCTATTAACAAATAGTTATTTTAAGGGCCATATTTACAGTACACATGAATTAAATAAAAGAAACATCGCTTGCTTATATTATTCAGAAAATTATGGATTTTATTTTATTGTATTTTTTTTTTTTTTTTTTTTTATTTTTTTATTCTTTTTTTAACAAATGTTTGCCGTTTTTACTTTTTTATCCTTCCTATTTAATTCTCGGTAAAATTCAATTCTTCATTTTCATGAAAGAAGAAACGGAGGAAGGAAAAGGAGGGGAAAGGAAAGAAGAAGAAAACTTAAATTTACAGTTTTTTGTTGTTGGTTTGAAGTATGAAGTTAAAGATTTATTCCAATGACTAGGTTTTAAAATAAAAAAACTGCTCTCGCGTAACATCTGATGAATGGCCAGGCAGAGGCCCAAGGTTGGTTAGCCTGTCAAAGAATACAACGACGCGCTAAATAAACACTGCTTTCAAGTGACATCTTAAGACAGAAAGCAAAATTGGTAGCATGTCCTTTTTATGAGCACTCTTATTATGTGTGGCCAAAAATTAGGGAGGAGGGAGAAATTTTCGCATTTGCATATATCTTTTGATAATATTATCTCCAGAACAGAAGGGCGAAAGATTTTAATGAAACTGGTTACCACAACATAGAGTGAATGATTTTTTTATAACACACCCCAAACACCACACACAATTATATATATATTATATAAAAGTGTTGTACCTGTGTACTTTATTATAGATAATGATGGGGAAAAGGAAACAGCCAACAACTTCATGGTACACACACATTATCATACAATAAGACCTCCTCAATGATTGAAAGTTGAAAATGTGAAAGAAGGTGAAGAATTTTGAAAAAAAGCATTGTGTGAAAGAAGAATGATCTAAAACAGAGGGTTGTTTAAGATTGAATGGGAGGGAAAAAAAAGAACAAAGTAAAAAAAAAAAAGTGGCTGATTGGGAGTATGGTTCACTCTAACACTATCATACAGCTCTCACAAGGGAATTTTTGTACTGGAAAATTGAGGCAGTTGAGAATCTCAAGTTAGTAACAGGCAGTCCCACTCCTGTAGCAATTCTGTTTTGCAAATCATGGTACGGTTTGTGGAAGGGGGAAGGAAGGCAAGTGGAAGGAAAATGCCCTTCAAGAGCACACCCCTAGATAGATATGGCCTTTTTAAGGACTTTAGATCTGGGAAGATCTAGCTGGCCAATCCTTTTTTCCAAAGCGTTAGTTAACAGCCCTCCCCTCCCCTCAATTATATAAAAAAAAACTTATCCACCAGAATTAGCATATCTAGATGAAGGCGTTAGCTTCCATCCAGAATGTGAAACTGCGAGTGAACTGCCATTCCTAAAAAAGATGGAAACACTATAAATATCTCTTGCCTAGAAGTCACAGAGCCAGCGAACTCTCCAAGAGAGAAAGTGATGGTTCCATACTCCTGAAAGAAAAAGACCCTTTCTTTAATATGGCCTACGGTAGTAACAGTTTTGACATATGTATTTCTTACCAACTTAAAAAAAATTTTTTTACTGGTTGATACAGCGTTTTTTTTTTTTTTTTTTTTTTTTTTTTTTTTGTTTTTTTTTTTTTTTTTTTTTTTTTTTTTTTTTTTTGTTTTTTTTTTTTTTTTTTTTAATTTTTTTTCTTTTATTGTTTTTTTTATTACTTTTTAAAAATACATAAATTTAAGCATTAGGAACAGAAAAAATAATATCTTTTGCAGCGAATTTCATTTCCAAAATAAACCAAGGATTTTTTTTTTTTTTAATTAAAGCAGCTCTATCAAAACCAGTTTTTTTTACACTGCTCAAACACATATATACTCTCCCTGCCCACTATTCGGGTACTCCAAAAATTACTACTATCTAACTTTATATTTATGCTTTGCTGGGACATATTTTCAGTGCATATATAATTAATATAATGTTATTTTAAAAACAGTTGTGTCAACGTTACAAACTTCTTTTTCTCAATTATATATAGCTCTTTACATTCAATTTATTTCAAATAAACCATAAAGTGTCTATGTTCCCTCTTTACATCAATTCTTTTGGTTAATTTTAATTAAGACGACTTTTAAAAATAAAAAAAATCATCTAATTAATTATATATATTACAGTTGACCCCCATATATGTATTTTTTTTTTTTTTTTTTTTTTTGAACATAAAAAAAATCTGTGAAAATCTAGAGAGAAAGTATTACAATTAAAAAATTCTTTTTTTTTTTTTTATTATTTAAAATTCATTGAATAAAAAAATTAATTTAAAATCTATAAAACCGGAATTTGAAAAATTGTGCCATTATGAATTTTGTGTAGTATATATAAAAAGTTAATATTGTGTGTTGTTTATAAAATATTGGAACCGAGGACACTGGCCATATGTATATAAATAATGATTTCTTTTAAAAATAAATTAATGGAAATAATAAATAAAATAATATAATAAAAAAATATAAAACTGTTTGTCATTTGAATATACAGTGGTGCACCCCCACTTGGCATATTCTTATAAAATTGTACTCACGGGTTTGAAAAAAAAAAAAAAAATCCAAAGGACTTTAAGTACTTCATGATGAATATTCATATTCGCTTCCACGAAAAATCTAATATGAAAAAGGATTTACATTTTTTATTTAGGATGATTTAAAAAAAAAATACTTGAAGGAAAATATTTTTTATCAAAAAATTATTCAATCAATTAGAAATTTTTTATTAAAATATTTCACACAAGCAAACTAATACAATTTGCCACACATTAATCCTGGATCATCATTTAATTAATTATTTTTAATTTTTAACAAGTTTGTGTTGTTTAGTTATATCTTTTTAGGGGTAATAATCATTTTTCAGGCTGTTGGGGGAAGGAAGAGAAGTAAAGAGAAGGGGGGGGGGGAGAAAAGCGAAAGAGGGAAAGAAAGAATCGGCGAACGTGGGATGAGGAGGGAAAGGGGGAAGAAGAAACATGGCAGAAAAGAGGGTAGAGCTGGGTGAAGAAGAAGGACAAAGGCGGAGCGAGGAAGGGGCCAAGGAGAGCGGGAGGAAAGAGCGAAAAGCCAGGACCGGCAACAAGGCGAGGGGAGCCAAAATACAAAAGGGGGCCCCGCCCCGGGTTGTTTGTTTTTGGTTATTATGTATGCTTTACGCATATGAAATTTGATTTTTTCCTCCCATAATAAAACATGCGGAAGGAGTCCCGGCCGGATTCTAATTTTTACTTCGGCCCACTAAAATAATTTAAAAATACACTATTTTAGTGAAGAAGAAGAAAAAGCAAAAATTTAAAAAAATTGTTTTTATTTTAAAATTTTAGCTATAAATGTGCGGAGGAGGGAGGAGGAGATACGTAAATTTAATTTTGGATCTTGTCTATTTCGCTGGCATACTCGCTACATTCAAACCGAAACACAGTCTACATGGATAACATCATTGATTTTTTATTTTACAACCTACTAGGATTTTTATTATCCATGATTGCCTGCCAAATGCAAGTGGGGGGAAAATCATTATTTTTATTTTATTTATATTTTTATTATTTTGCTATTTTCATCACCGCATGTTTAATCAAACCACATGGATAACTTGAGGAAGGATATAAGACAGGGAGTGTGTTTTTTTTTTTTTTTTTTTTTTTTTATTTTTTTTTGTTTTTTTTTTTTTTTTTTTTTTTTTTTTTTTTTTTTTTTTTTATATTTTCTGGTTTTTTTTTTTTTATTTTTTTATTTTTGAGTAGGTGATTGTTTTTTTTAACGGTTGTTTTTTTTGTTTTAAACAATTTTTTTTTTTATATAGTTATTGAATATTTTATAATTAAAAAAGGAGTATTTTTTTGTGTTAATTTTATTTAAAGTAAAGGCAACCTTTGTTATGCATGACATACGCCTTTGGCAATGATTAACATTTAAGTTTATTTAAATGGCACTAAAGAAGAAATGTTTTTGACGAGGAAAAAAAAAATTTTTAACAAAAAACAAATGTCTTTTCATATGCTCAAACAAAAATAGATTTTTTGTTAATGGAAAGTTTAGGCCAAAAGATTATATTTAGTGCTTATTTGAATATCATTAATAAGGAATAAACATATATGTTATACACAATAAACACAGGGAACCGGGATCAGAGAGCTGTATGGCCCAACTGGGGATGGCAGAACGCATTAGGAGGGAAAAGACAAAAAAAATTTTTTGTGAATTTTTTAGTAATACAAATTTTAAAAAAAATAAAATGGAATTTTTAGAGAAAAAAGGAAAGCACCGAGGGGCCCAAAATTAAGGTATGACAAAATAATTTTATATAAAATTTAGGGAAAGCACCAAACTCGGATTTTTTTTTATTTTTAAAGTTTAAGGTTGACCCAAAAAATTTAGGAAATTTTGGGAGCCTGCTCTGTAGCAGAATTTTATATTTAGGGACTCAGAGAGACGCATCAGGTTTTTTTGTTATCAAGCCACCGCCCTCTATATGCTTTTTAAGTATATGTAGGAGTTATTTATGCAGGGTCCCCAGCTTAGCTTAGCATGTGGCAAGAAAAGCAAAGAGACCTAGAAGGGAGAGAAAAGAAAGAAAAAACGAAGACAAGGAGGCAGGAGGCGAAGGGTGAAAAGAGAGAAGGGGCAAGGGGGGAGGAGATGAGAGGAAAAGAAAAAGAGAAAAAGGGGAGCGAAAACAAGCGGGGCGGGCAGCGCCAAGCCAGAAGGGGAAAACCGAGGACACGCCAAAAAGCAGAGGAGGGGCACAAGGACGGAAAAAGACGGGGGAAAGAGGAAAAAGGGGGGAAGAAGGAAGGACAGAGTAAAAGAGGAACGAAGGCGGAAAGGCAAGCAAACAAAAAAGAACGGACACAGAGAAAAAACAGGGGGAGGACGGGCAGGGGGGAAGAAACTCAACAACACCAACAAAAAAAAAAAAAAAAAAAATCTGATAATTCAATTTCCTATTTAACAAATATTTATTTTAAGGCATATTTACATTACACATGAATTAAATAAGAAACATGCTTATTATTCAGAAATTATGGATTTAACAAATGTTGCCGTTTTTATCCTAATTCTGGTAAATTCAATTCTTCATGAAAGAAAACTAAATTTACATGTTTGAAGTTAAAGATATTCCAATGACTAGGTAAAAACTGCTTCAGTAACATCTGATGAATGGCAGGCAGGTTGGTAGCATGTCAAAGCATACCAACGACTAAATAAAAACTGCTTCAATTACATCTTATGAACAGAAAGCAAATTGGTAGCATGTCCTTATGAGCACTTATATGTGTGGCCAAAATTAGGAGAATTTTCGCATTTGATCTATTATCTCCAGAACAGAAGGACAGATTTTTAATGAAACTGGTTACACACATAGATTGATATAACACACACACACAATATATATATATATAAAAGTGTGTACCATGTGTATATATAGATAATGATGGAAACAGCAATCATGGTACACACACATTATCATACATAAGACTCAATGATGAAAGAAGATCTAAAACAGAGGTTGTTAAGATTGAAGGGAAAAAAGTGGCTGATATGGAGTATGGTTCACTCTAACACTCATACAGCTCTCACAAGAATTTGTACTGGAAATGAGGCAGTTGATGAATCTCAGTAACAGCCAGTCCCACTCCTGTAGCAATTCTGTTTGCAAATCATGTACGGTTTTGGAAGGGGGAAGGCAAGTTGGAAATGCCCTTCCAAGAGCACCCTAGATATGCTTTTTAGGACTTAGATCTGGAGATCTAGCTGGCCAATCCAAGCAGTTAACAGCCTCAATTATAAAAAAAAACTTATCCACCAGATTAGCTCTATCTAGATGAATGCCGTTATCCATCAGAATGAACTGAGAGTGAACTGCATTCCTGAAAAGATGAACACTATAATATCTCTTGCCTAGAAGTCACAGAACCTCTCTCAGAGAAGTGAAGGTTCATACTCCTGAAAAACTACCTTTCTATATATGGCCTACTGTAGTAACAGTGACAATGTATCTTCCAACTTAAAATTTTTTACTGATACACGTTTTTTTTAATGTGTTTATTACTTAAAATACATAAAATTTAAGCATTAGGATACAGCAAAAATAATATTCTTTTGCAGCGAATTTATTTCCAATAAACAAGATTTTTTTTTTTAAAAGCAGCTCTATCAAAACCAAGTTTTTACACTGCTCCAAACATATCCTCTCCCTGCCACTTCGGTACTCCAAAATACTATCTGAACTTTATATGCTAGGACCTATTTTCAGTGCATATATAAATAAATAAAACAGTTGTCAACTTACAAACTTTTCTCAATAAGCTTACATTCAATTTCAATTAAACATTAAATGTCTTATGTTTCCATACATCAATTCTTTGTTAATAAGACGACTTTAAAAAATAATATAATATATTACAGTTTGACCATTTTAACATAAAAATCTTGAATCTGAGAAATATTACAATTAAAAATTCTTTTTAAAATTCATGAATTAAAAAAATTAATTACAACTAAAACCAGAAATTTGAAAATTTGCCATAAAATATATTTTTTATAAATATGGAACGAGACAATGCATATGTATAAAGATAAAATTAATGGAATAAACTGTTTCATTAAATATCACAGTGCACCACTTTGCATAATTATATAAAATGTACTCACGGTGAAAAAAATCCAGTACTTCATGATGACATATTCAGATTCGCTTCCACGAAAATCTAATATGAAAGATTTACATTTAGATGATTAAAAAAATACTTGAAAGAATATTTTTTATCAAAAAATTCAATCAATTAGAAATATAAAATATTTCACACAAGCAAACTAATACATTTTCCACACATTAATCCTGACATAATTAATTTTTAACAAGTTTGGTTAATCATCATTTCAGGCTGTTGGAATAATTTTTTAAAATCTATATGAAAGAAATAACTGCTAATATAGTTAAGGTAAATTTCAAAAATATATATCTTGTTAATAATAATACAAAGTCAGAGATATGGATGTCCAATATCTGGAATGATCTAAAATCCAGACCTCAAAGCTACAAACAAATTCCCCCCCCCCCTTGTGTGTGTGTATGTATGCTTTACGCATGCACATTTGATTTTTTCCTCCCATAATAAAACATGCGAAGAGTCCCGATTCTTAATTTTACTTAGGCACTAAATAAAATACCTCATTATTGAAGAAGCAAAATTTTAGCATAAATGTGCGAGATCAGTAATTTGGCTCTGTATCTGCTTGGCATACTCGTACATCTCAAACCGAAACAGTCTACATGGATACATCATTGATTTTACACCTACTAGTATTTTATATCCATGATGCCAAGCTGGCAAATCATTATTTTTTATATTTTGCTTTCATCACCGCATGTTTATCAACACATGATAACTTGAGTAATGACTCATGCAGTGATGTTTAAACAATTTTTTTATATTAGTAATTGAATAAAAAAGAGTAAGGCAACCTTTTATGCTGACATTACGCTTGGCAATGATTAACATTTAAGTTAAATGCACTAAGAAATGTTGACGAGGAAAAATTTAACAAAAATTTCTTTTCATATGCTAAAAATAGATTTTGTTAATGAAGTTTAGGCCAAAAGATTATATTTAGTGCTATTTGAATTAAGAATAACATATATGTTATACACATAAACCCAGAACCGGGATCAGAGCTTGTATGGCCACACTGGATGGCAGAATTTAGGAAAGACAAAATTTTTGGAATTTTTAGAAGCACCGAGGGGCAAAATTAAGGTATGACAAAATTTTTATAATTTAGGGAAAGCACTGGGATTTAAAGTTTAAGGCTGACAAAAATTTAGAATTTTGGGAGCTGCTCTGTAGCAGAATTTAGGACTCAGAGAGACTGCATCAGGTTGTATCAAGCACCGGCCCTCTATATGCTTTAAGTATATGTAGGAGTTTATTTATGCAGGTCCCAGCTAGCCTTAAGCATGTGCAAGAAATAGACATAGGTATAATAAATAACTAAACTAATACAATTCAGGCTTAATTTGCAAGATAGAATTTGCAAGATAGCGATAGAAAAGCAAGATAAAATTTAGCGAAACAGCTTGTCTTTCATCGCCAATCCATACTTGCCAACCTATGACACTCAAAAATCAGGAGATTTTTCACAATGCTAAAAAGACTTTTTAAATGATGAAAATAGTTTTTAATAATGAATTAAATATAAATAGTAACTAATTCTTAAATGCAAGCAACACAAAAATACCTTACACATAAAAAACATTTTTATTACTTGCATTGTTTAAGAAACCAACAACAACAACAAAAAAAAAAAAAAAAAAAAAAGACACTTTAATCAGTTTTCATACAAATGATATGAACCATGGCAGATTTTGCTTTCGTGTTAAGAAAAAAACTTCATAATTTTGCTCATAGCAATTGCCACGTAGGCCTGCTTTCGCTAATAAAAGCTTTTCTGATGTGTCATCACTAATATTAGATCTAAATTTAAGATCGTTTTCCCAAACAACACTGAAAATCCTCTCACACTCTGCATTACTATGGGAAACTGTCAAGATGGCCAACATAATTCTAGACAGTTCACTATATTTTAAAATTCCATCAGCATGTTTCAGTTTTCCAATTAAACTCCACTTGGATGAAGTTATTAAATCCTAGCTGATTTTATAACTTCATCCAAGTTTTCTAACTGTAAACTGCTGTTATGCAGCTGTTGGAATTGTTTCAATTTTTCCTTCCTTTTAGAACTCCTTTCAAGATAATTATAAATATCAACAAAGTGTTCATCCACATTTATTGGTAAAGAAGCTGCCCCTTTTACAGCTGCTAAATTTAAGAGGTGACAGGTACACCTCATAATCTGCAAATCTGAATTTTCCTTTCTCAAGATGCCTGCGACACCAATCTTCAAGCCTACCAATACTGGTGCATTATCGGCACCAAGTGCTAAGCAATTATCCAGAGAGACTGCATTTTCTTTTAAAGTTTTAATAATTAGCTGTGCTATATTAAAGCCTGTCAAATGTCCTTCTAAAGTGGGGACAGAAAGTAAACTGGACTCAATTTCTGAAGACTCTGGATTAAAAAAAGAAACAACAATTGGATACAGTTTTGAATCTGCATTATTGTTTCCATCTGTACAGAGGCAGAATGGAGCTGTTTTAATGCAATCAATAACTGAAGATTTATTTTTCAAATCCATTTCTTTAACAATTTCACCTGTTTTGGTTCTTGAGTATTTCTTAGCGATTTCACTATCGGGAAACATTTTTTTTAATAAAGCTGCAGCGTGATCCGATGCATTCAGTGGTAGGTTGTGCTCCAGTAAAAAGGCAGAGAACAGACATTCTGCATTAATAACTTTTTGGTCCTTTGTTTCCAAAGAAAAATTTAATTTTTCATTTTTTTCACACCAACTCATGTTGTCCTTGTGTTTTTGTGTACGCACATGTTTAAGAACATCTGCTCTTCCACCATGCGAAATCGAAAAATCGCAACGACAGGCGGTACATATTGCAAATTTATTACATTTCCTTGAGGAAATAATGAAAGGAAACTCAACTGTGTATGATTTTTGAAACGTACACGAGTATTTCACCTTTCTCGCAGACATAATAAAAGATGATAATTTCTAAAACTATTTCCCAAAGGCACGTGTTCTCACACAACTCAGGACAAAATGACCGAATTAACTAAAGAACATCCAAATAACAGATGGCTTTGTCCACATTGGCTAATATATGCCAGATGACACTCAGTGGAGCACGATGCCCATCGGAGAACTGGAGAACAACATTTCTGGATACGTATATGATCTCATTCACAAAGCAGAAGTTATCTAATTCACTTTTGTTTTAGATATAATCTAGAGAAAATTCAATTGCTTTCAGATGTCCAAAATCTTTTTTTTTTTTTTTTTTTTTTTTTTTTTTTTTGGTTCATATAACAAAGTATCAAGCCAAGTTCCATAAAAATCGTGAGAAATTTTAAGAATAAGAAAATGTTGGGAGAAATATATTTGTAAATCGGGTTGTGCGGGAAAGCGGTCGAAAATCGGGAGTCTCCCTCCTAAATCGGGAGAGTTGGCAACTCTGCCAATCTCATGATACATAGCCAATAACGTAAAGTGGGCATTATTAACCTAGGCTAAAATTATACCGATTCCAAGGAATTTCAGTTAATTAGCACATAGCCCTGTTTCTTAGCGTTCTGATTTGATCCAACTTATTATTTTTGCAGGCTTTTATTATTACAGAAATTTTTATGAAAATTAAAGTTTGAACTTTCGATTATGTTGAAAAGAGTTTCTAATTCTGGAGCTACAACAGGATCTACAAAGCAAAAGCATCTTTTGATGTTCATTAAACAAAAAGTAAAATTGCCGCAAAAAGGGGATAAAGGCATATCTGTCTCAAAATTATGCGAGGAACTATAGCATTGGAAAGTCTACTATATATGACATAAGAGAAAAGAAAAAGGAACTTTTTGAATTTTTTGTGGATTCCAACACCCTACTCACAATGAATAATGGAAAAATTGTTTGTTATGCTAAAAGTGACGATCATTACAAAGTGATCAGTGAATGGGTCAGACAGCATCACAGTGAGGGAATGCCATTGACGAGTTCAATGCTAATGGCTCAAGCCAAAATATTTTATGAAGAAATAAAAAACTGAGTGCACGTATTCAATAGGTTGGTTAACCAAATTTAAAAATCACCATGGTATAAGGCAATTAAAAATTTCAGGTGAAAAATCTGCAGCTGCTGAAATATTTGCAGATTAATTCATTGAACTCATTAATAGTGAAAAGTCATCTACAGAATTAATTTACACCATTGATGAAATTGGTCTTTTCTGGCAATATGTACCACAAAATACCTCAGCAACCTCAACCCCCCCCCCAAAGAAAAACAACTCGTGTCAAATATTCCAAAGCGAGACTAACAATTTCAGCATGCACAAATGCTGAAAACTGTTCGTAATCGAAAAACATGCCCGACCTCGAGCATCTAAAGGAGTACCGATTTTCCCCGTTATACATTGCGCAGATAAAAGAGCACGGATGACACAAGCGTTGATGAATGATTGATTAGAAAATCATTTTATATCCGAAGCTTGGAAACATTTGAATTCGGTTGGTTTACCTGACGACTCAAAAATAGTCCTTATTGTAGACAACTGTTCAGCTCATACTTCACTTAAAGTTTTAGTGAAAGATAATGCATCCATATTATTCTTCTCTCCGAATTGTACGTCTATCATTCTACCTATGGATATCAGAATAGTGCACGCGCTAAAATGCAAATATTGAGTAGCATTTTAAAAATCCATGTTAAATTTCTTGAACAATGGCAAGACTATTCAAGAATTTTTGAAATATTTTAGCATAAAATCCGGTGGGTAGAGCATCGCAACATCGTGGGAGGATGTGTCTCGATATGCTTTAAAAAATGCTTGGCATAATTTATGGCCAGCTACCATATTTCATGGTGAGGATGATGAAGATGATAGCCGTGAATTTGAAGGTTTTTGGATATCGCAAACCAAAGGTGAAATTTTCTTAATTAATGGATTTTGTAAAGAAATGTGGAGAAGCAGTAATAAATGAAGATAATATAACAGAAGTTTTTCATTGGGATGACAATGCCCCAATCATCAATCAATTAACGAATGGCAAAATTTATAGTATGGTTCTATATCTAGAAAATACCACTACCACTAACGATAGTGAAGAAAATCAGAGCGGTTAATGAAAACAAAGAAATTTCGACTGACAAGTTAGTCGGAATTCTCAAGACAGCAATTACAGGACTTAAAGAGTGGAATTTTGTAACTGAACAAGAAATTATATCTATATAGAATTATATAGAATATATAGAATTATATAGAATATTATATAGAATTAAGAGAATATATTAGCACAAAAAAAAATGAAGCAACTTACGTTGAAAGAAATGTTTAATAAAGAAAACAAATAAATATTAAGGCCTTCTTTTTTTTGTAATTTTGATACCCTTTAGATCATAAATCATGATTTCATATTTTTAATTTTATTATTTCTGCATGGTGTCTTACTAGATTTATATTGATAATATAATATCTGGAAAAATCCCAAATCCGGAATTGTCAAAGTCCTTCTGTAATACACTTTTAAAGCAATTACTGATGTTATGAAACATTAAAAAACTAACTGTTTCTTATGTTATTCGTATTATATCTCGGAAAGAAAAATATAAAGGACAGTGATAAATTTATGTTACTTAGATTACAAAAAACATGTATAAAAAGTAATAATAATAATAATAAGTTTTAGAAAATTTATGCTTACGTACAGTGCTGCATTTGTGTAACAGCTCTGTCAAAGACATCACATACTTCATTTAAGCCAGTAACATTTTCTGAAAAAAAAAACACATATTATATATTAAGATATATATATATAACACATATTATATATAAAGATATTAACTACCTAACTGACTGGCATAGAACTACCTGTTTTTTACTGAATAAATATAAACAAAACTCACCATTATTCTCAATATTCTCTGTGCTTATCCTTCGTCTTAGGTAATCCAAGTATGATAGCCATAATTCTTTGAAGTCTTCTGCTTTTGCAAAACCCATGCTCAAAGCAGTTTCAAAAACACCTATAATAAAAATAATGCAGAAATTTGCACAGTTAAAAAAATTAAACTTCTCAGAGTGAGCACTTTCTATAAAATCATGTCAGAATGTGGCCAGTATTTCACAGAACATAAAAAATTATTAGTATTGCTACGAAATATACAGGCGCAGTTTTAGATAGCTTCCCCGCAAAGAAGGCTTAGGGTTGCCATAAAATGGCAAGGGAAGCCAGGGTTGCTACATTTGGCGACAAAATTGGTGATATACAATGGATGGTTGGAGAACTTTCTGGAATTAATTTTTACCGGTTTAGTCCAGAATGTTCTCGAACACAAGCCAAAAGCTATATAAACCCTGCTAGACCACAGTCAGTGAGTGATCAAATCAGACGCTCCACAAGGACTTGAAACTTGAGATAGTAGAGGAGTACTTGCACAGAATAAATGCAAATTTCTTCAAAAAAGCACAGGATGTAGGCACATGGGAGACCTTAATGTGTGTAAATATATTGTTCTTGAGGAGGACTCCATTTATAGACCACTTGCGGCCCACCTCACTCGGGACTTGAATTTTCCTACTTAAGTTATCTCGCTGCTTTGTATATATGTTAGTAATTTTATTATGCATTTCATATTGTGAACTTGTATTTCAATTTGTAATTGGTATTTTATGTCATTTTATTGTGCATACTGTGTCATTTATTGCATATAGCTTTGTATTTATTTATGCTACTTTCTCATGTATTGTTTAAATTTTTCTTGTATCACTTGTCTGATTTGTCTTTGTTACTCACTGCATCAACACAAACATACACCACAGTGTCCCTCACAGCTCCTGAATTTGGCTTATCTTGTGTTAAGGCTCTTCTAGCGTCTAGCAGGCTGATAGTCAGTCATTGAGCGAGTATCTCGAAGTCTAGTGCCGGGTTGGTCGTCGAGTGCATCGAAGAGTCTCTTAGTGTATCGCGGTTAGTGCACTGTCGAGAGAGATCATACCAAGTATTAAATTTACCTTACTTATTGCATACAAACCTTACTTATGCCTTACTTATGAAACATACAAAGGAAATATACATCTAAACAATTCAAAAAAGCAGTATGGAAAGAAATGTAAAATTTTCAAAAAAATTTCATTCTGAAAAAGGAATTTATAACAGCACATTATTCATAATGAATATCATTTCTTCAAAATAAAATTAAAAATCTTACAATACACTGAATGGAAAAAAAGTGTCTAATTAATATAGCATACAATATATATTCATCTATTACAAAGATTAAGTAATTGTCTAAAAGGTTATTTAACAGAGATGAATTACATTGCAGAAATCACTGTTTACAACTTCATATCAATATACCAGCTAAGATGATTATTCAACTGGATTGCAGGTGAAAACAATGAGTTTTTTTAATAAGAAAGCACAGGAAAACCAGATGGTGGAATGAGAAATTTCAGCTTAATAAACGATTTTAAAAAAATACCATGCTGAAATTATCTAGAAATTTGAATAATGCAAGATATATAATACATTTTGAAGACAAATGGTTTCTTTTTTGCAATGAAAAAAATTACAATATATCCATCTTGAATTTTATAAGTGCAATGATTTAAAATCAAAGAAGAATTTACAAATGAAAAAATTGCTTTAAAGGCAGGGGAAAAACAAATAATGGCAGTTTTATTGATTAACTGCATATGAGATAGACTCGGCATACTGTTCCAAGTAAATATAAATGGTATATACCTTAGAAAATTTTCCAAAATGCACCCTTTCCCTCAGGTTGATAGCCTTACCAAATAACCAAATAGCAATTGATATGCAGCCAACAAATGACCCTCTAGCTTAATACAGGGTCTTCCTTTTTAAAGCAGACACTACTCAAAGCCACCTGTAGCTCAATCTATCAGCTAGAATGCAATTAATTTGATAAGGGGGGGGGCTAAATGACAACATGCGAAAAAAATTAGCTCAAAATGTTTCCAATAAGGAATGATGTGATCACTTCTAGTCTACAAAACAGAAAATCTGCATCAAATGCAGGTTAAATTTGAAATGCAAATGCATAGTTACATAAATGTATAAAGATATGGAAAAAAAACTCCTAAGTACACTGAGCTGTATGTCAGCTGAGTTCAATATGCATATTACTTTACTTCAGCATGCATTACTTGTGAAGTTGTTTTATCTTCACCAATTGAATGCAGCTGCTGCTCTTTATAAGTGTAAAATCCTATGTAAAGGCTGTCAATTAATTCCTTGAAAGACCTGATTCAGAAGTTCGAAGAAACAGGATCCTTAGCAATTCAGCCTGGTTGAGTGCAGAAACTGGCATCACAGCAGACAGTTCGTATTGCTATTGCAATCCTTGACAACACCCATGGGAGCACTGTTGGCAGTAGCATGACAATAAGGTTTATGGAAACAGGCATTAAAAGACAACGATTATGATAAATGGGTGGCATTTGCTCTCATATTTTTTGCCATCATGGAGATCAACGGTGCTTGCTTGGCCATGGAGAATTCTATAGGGAGATGAGACCTAATTTCACCTAAATGGGCCTGTTAACACGTTGAGCGCCATTTCAGCCATCTGTGGCTGACACTAGACTTTCCGTTTAGGCCGCGTCGACCATCGCTGGCTGACAGGGTGTAACATGATATATAACTATAGAATTTACACTGTTTTATGGAATTACAGAAAAATTATTTAAAATTTACTTAATTTTGATTCATTACAGGACTAATGGATTTCACTGAAACACTGTAAGCATAAAAACAGTTCTCCATTAGAGCTATTACAAATTTGACAACTGTCTTAGTCTTTTTTCTGGCCATTACTCTACCAGCTTCAGTTGCATTTTTATCATAATTTACAATGTTTCCGTACTTCAGAAGCTTTTTCCGGTTTTCTTTGGAGTTTATGCTGTCATTTTTTAGATATTCTTACATTTCTGTTCGATGGAATATCTTCTTTTTCACAACTTGTAAGGGATAGCGCTAATTCTTTCCGGACTTCAGTAATGCTAATTTTCTGCTTCGTAATATCTTTGCAGAGAATGTAACTATTTACAAAACAGACTTGGAGTGTAACGTGTTGAATGAATGCCTATAGGAATCCCGTTGCAAACGTAAACTATCTTCTACTGCGATAAGAATCGCTGGCCCTACAATGCCAGCGCTTTTAAGCGGCGCGCGTGGCCTGAACGAGATTGCCTAAGAAATACGCTTAGCGCTCAACATGTTAACACTCGCAGTTCTCCAATTTGGGCATCCAAACAACCCCATACAGGTCAGGAAATCCCATTACATTCACCAAAAGGAACTGTTTGGTGTGTCTTCATAGCAAATTTCATCATTAGACTATTCTTTTTTTAAAGCAATACTCCAACAGGATAACAGATCTCTACTTTTATCTTACAAAGGTATCATGATATGCTGACTAGTTTTGCCATTCCAAAACTTCAGATACAGGTCCTGAATCAGGTAACTTTTATGCAGAATGGAGTACCACCACACATTTGTTTATCAGTATAGCGGCTGCTGCACCATTACTTTACAGCAGAAAGGCTCATAAATCACTTTTTCTCCCACTTCTATGGCCCCTCAATCCCTGGATCTGATCCCATATGAATTTTTCCTGTGGGGTTACTTATATTTCAAGGTCTTGTTGGGATCACAAACTTGATGACATAGAGCTCAACATATTGCAGGATGCGCCTTTCCCCCACTTGGTTGGAATCCCAGTCTTGTTGGGATCCCGAACTTGATGATCATAGAGGACAACATATTGCAGGCTGGGCTGAGTACTTCTGGTGACATGTTACAACATTAGGCTATCGAGAATGTAGTGCACAAGATGCAATGTGTGATCCACGAGAAGGGTGGTCACAGTGAAAGAGGTTCATGCCCTTGCTGAGGAAATGCTTTAATTGAATAAAGCGCACAGAAATATCATCTATGTAACCCTTTGGAGTAGGTCTTTTGCTGCACTAAAATTTCTTCTTTGTTATTGAGTTGGGTGGACTAGAACAGTACAACATTATCTCCTATCAGCAACTTTCAGATTTTGATAACTAATTCCCCCACACACATTATCGATAGTCCCCTACCAAATTTGGTGGCATTACAGTTGATGGATCGAGCAACAGATGGCTCTGAGTACCGCCAGTTTAAAAGCAAACACTCTGTAAATAAAGTAACAATACCTGAAATATTAGTAGATCATATTGTAAACATCCTCATTTACTATGAATTAGAATAACTATTAAATCAATTTAAAGAAAAAAAAAAAACTATTCATGTCACATTCCTTAAAATAAGTATTAAAAACAGATGTGAAACTATAAAATAAAAATAGATTTTCTCTTCAGATTGTTGGTCTCAGTTACTGATCAAAGCAGCATGTAGAATGAAAAAAGTGTTTCAACTAAAACAAAGATAATAATTGCTTGCTTGTTAAAACAAAATGTTCATTTCATACTGATTCTATCTAATAAAATAATTGCTATTTATTTCCAAATAAACATAAAAATTGCAATGTTTTCAGTTATGATTCCATTGAAGATTTATAGTTTTTTTTTTTAATTATTAATATAAAGCTCTTATCAACTTGTTCCTTATTCATTCACAAAACAGGCTATAGATTATAAGGCTCTTTATCCAGTTAACATTTCAACTAATAATTAAGAAATTTTTATCATCTTAATCACCCAAACTGATCCTAAAAACAGCAAAAGGAAAATAATCATGTAAAATAGGAATTAGATTTCAATATCCACTAGGAAAACCTTATTGGAAGGAGAAATATTACAGAAGTTTTTCTTATGAACCCAGACTTTCTTTAATCAATACTGGAACTTTATAGATTTATAAGCATTCTATAAGTACTATTCATTTTGCAGAATGCAACTCAAAGTGACATTTCAATAGTCTGGAAAACAAAATGCAAGCTATTTATAATAAAGATAAAAAAAAATGGCACAAAATTTAACATACCAACTATTTTTTCATGGGGTTCTTCATAGCGTTCCAAGGTTCTTCCATAACTGACCCACAACTGCACACACCAAGGGCAATTTCGCACTGCTCGTTCATAAACAGGAAGAGACATATCTCGAATTTTTACATTGTAATCCTGTGAAAGCATTTAAAAAACATATTATTAAATATATACTTCAATTCTATTAAAATATTACAGATAATAAATGACAGAAAATTTGAAAATCTAACAAAATTAAATGAAAATAACATTAACTAAAGTTTTATATAAAGCAGAAACAACCGATACAAAAATTCAATCTAAATTTATCTCTATTGTATAACGAGAAATTTCTCCAAAGAACTTTAAAAAAAAAAAAAGAAGAAGAAGAAGAAGAGCTAATATACTTTTGGCAAATACAGAAAATTTACTGAAATTAATTACACAAATAAAAATTACCATAAACTTTGTATACTCCAACCATAATTCGTCTTTAAGACAATTTTCTATTAGAGCTCGCTCGTACAAATTTTGAACGCGAATGGGTTCCGACTCTCCTTTTTCATACTGGATGTAAGCTTTATATTCTTCATAATGAGGCGCTTCAGAAGTCATCTGAAAATAAAGACATTCTGAAAATTAGTTCCAAAAAATTATTAAAAACTCAAAAGAAAACAACATATAAGAATCTTTGGCACTTTAAATTATCCACAACCCAACAAAAAGTCACCATCTCATTTGTAACTGTGAAGTTAGGAAAAATATTTGTTTGGCTAATTTTATAGCCCATATGTATTGTTCTGTTAATAATAATAATAAAAAAAAGGGAAGCATTTCATGAGAAGCAAGAAATTAAAAAACGAAAAAAGACTTTTTGAGGCTAATATTTAACTTTTACAGCCAGTGGGTAATATTCAACAAAATTATGGTTAAATATAAAACATATAAATCTACGTACATGCAAATGCGTGCATGTATGTAGATGCAAATGTGTGCATGGGTTGACTATTCTTGCATGTAAACTTAAGGTGGGGTAACACTCAAAGCATGGGCATTCTGTCATTTTTCTGAAACTGGCAGTGAGGATAATAAAAAAATATTGAATCTATATATACCATCTATCTATACAGGGGTTGCCAAAATAGTGGACACTTTTGTAAATTTTTATGTTTTTAGAACTTTGTATGCTTATAGAAAATGTTACGTTTCGCAAAATGCAAACTTGTATATATCATTTTAAAGAGAATTTATTACTGAATTCAATACAAGACACAAAATTCAATTATTTGCAATACAAAAAAAAAGTTATATGTACTTTAATATAAATAAAAAACACAGTTATGAAGTGGTTTGTAATGTCTAGCTTTCCTGGCCAATCACTGTTCTTGTTCTGAGAACCCATCAAATGTTAGTAACTGCCAGTAGAAGCTGACATCATGTTTACACTTGAAACAATTCATTATTTTGCTTTGTTCTGTACAAGTAGAAATTTTTGTAAAAATTTTTAATATTTAGTCAAGAAGCAATGACATCAATAAAATAGTAGATTGGACACCTAGAAAGAGATGTAATATTATTGAGTTACGAGAAAGTGGTCTTTCCTATGCTGAAATTGCAAGACAGGTGGGTGGTTCAGTGACTACATCTGGAGTCCGAAAGTTTTGGTTACGATATCAGGAGACAAATTCAATAAAAACAAAGAAGGAAAAGGCCGAAAAAGGTGCACCACATCTATTGATGACAGAAGAATGACAGAAGAATAAAAGGACTATGTCTCCAAGATAGAAAAATGTCATCAGCGGCCATCAGAAGTGATCTGAATGATGCTAGTATTTCTGTCAGTTCAAGAACAATCAGGAGAAGATTAACAGATGTTGGACTGAGAGGTAGAATTCCACGAAAAAAGCCTTATCTTAATTTTCAGCAACGAAAAAAAAGACTACAGTGGGCAAAGAAACACATTAATTGAACAGATGATCAGTGGTCACAAGTTATATGGAGTGATGAAACTAAGATACTGTTATTCGGTAGTGATGGGCGAAAATATGTAAGACGTAGAATAGGAGAAGAGCTACATCAGACTGCATTCAAGCAACTGTGAAGAATCCCAGTTAGTGTCACGATTTGTCATGCATGTCAGCAGATGATATTGGTCGCCTTCATGTCATCGATGGGACACTGAATGCCAGAAAATACATTGACACTATTCTAGAACCAAAATTTCTACCTTCCATCAGAGATCTCTTTCCCAACAATGCTTCGTTTATTTTTCAGCAGGATTCTGTTCCTTGCCACACGGCCAAAATATCAAAAGAGTGGTTTCGTACAAAGAGCATTAAATTGTTGTCATGGCCAGGAAACAGTCCTGACCTCAATCCTATCAAAAATTTGTAGCACCGTTTGAAAAGACTTGTCCGAATGAGGCGCCCATCAAATAAAAGGGAACTAATTGAGACTATAATTGTTTCCTGGCATCATGTAATAACGAAAGAAGAGCTTAAAACTCTTGTCAGCTCAATGAAACATCAATGTGAAGCTGTAATCAAAAATAAAGGTATCCTACTAAGTACTGATAACTCACTGCAATCATCACTATCTAATGTATATCGATAACTATTATCGTTTAACTTTTTTTGTGTTGCAAATAACTGAATTTTGTGTTTTGTATTGAATTTAGTAATAAATTTTCTTTAAAATGATATATACAAGTTTGCATTTTGTGAAACGTAACGTTTTCTATAAGCATACAAAGTTCAAAAACATAAAAATTTCCAAAAGTGTCCACAATTTTGGCCACCAGTGTATATACTAATTATATAGTATATCAGGGTATATACTAATTATATAGTACTTGCTTCAGTGATATTGTCATTATCACTGAAGCAAGTAGCTTTCCTTTCCAAAATATGCAAAAAATATATTATTTACATAGCAATGATGATGAAATACATTATCAGTTAAAATTAATAAGCTCACAATCATAAATATTAAAGTATAATAGTTAAACATATTGCAAAATATAAACGATTCATACCAGGGCTTCTTCATATTGCTGTATGCTGTTTAATTTTTTTAATGCTTTCTTGTATGCATAATCTATTTCAGCAATATCAGGATAAGAAGTTTCATCAAATTTTTCTCTAAATTCTTCATATGTTTTATCCATACCTATAATCAGTAAATACACGGATATCAATTATAACACAATAAAAATATAGCAATGGCAAAAAATGTAAAATATGTAATTATTTTAATGAGTCCAGCTACTGCAATTTCATAGAAATATTAAATGATGGTTTAGAGAAACCAAAAATACTGCCTTTTTGATCACATTAATATAATCAATCATTGCAGTCTAGACTTTAGATGCAACATAAATCACACAAAGAGCTTTTACTAATACTGGAGTTGACAATATAATTTCTTTAATATGATAACTACTTTTAATTATGCTCCAAAAAGGATTGGAATAAAGGAAAATTTTTTAAAAGATTTTATTTTTCTAAACACAAAATCACCTTTTGTTAAACAATCAAATACGGACATAAAATTTGGATCAACTTATTTCTTTCCTTTAGATCATCTCAACTATATTCATACTATTTTTGGTATGCTATTCTGTTTTTCAGTATATATTAACAGAACTGATATTAGCTCAAATATCAATTGTTTCATTTTACTTTTATTTCGTTTATGTTGAAAAATTTGATGATAGAGGACACAATGGCTGTTTCATGACATTCATATTTGTACAGTAAAATTCCTTTTTTCTCTCTACCTATGCATGAGAGTCCAAAGAATCCTTCTTCAAGAATCATGAAATAAATCCAGAAAGGAGCTTTACATGACATCATTACAAGGTATAGTATAGATCGGACTGTCTAAGTGCTTGTCGGCTGTCCAAGAGAGCCATATTTGAAATTTTCATATTACAGCAATACGAACAACAGTAATACACACATTATCAGTAATCCTATTAAAGATCAGAACAACAGTAATCCTATTAAAGTAATATACCTTACAAAGTATCTGACTTGAAAAAAAGTAAAAGGCTAAAAAATGAAAAACGGAATTCTATTCCCATTACATACTATATGGCTTTAGGAAAACCTTTCCTAAGAGTCACTCTGAAATTTTTGAAATACAGCTAAATGGTGCAAGATGGAACTTAACAAATCTTAGTTGTGTTCAAAGTAGTTTCTTTCAACATCAATGCACTTTTGTAAGCAAATTTTCCAAAAACAAATGCTTCAAACTATCCACTTCTTGGAATTTATGAATAACGTGCTTATATAGCTTCAAAAGTTGCACCTCTGGAATAAAAATGACAGGCTTGTAAATTTTGTTTTAGATTAAAAATACTATCTCAAGGCCACACATAACAAGATAAGTGTGTGACAGGAAAGATGATCTATGCCTTTGATGTATTTTTGTTTAAGAAATTTTATAGTCAGTCTTGCTAAATGAGAAAATGCATTTTCACTGTGAAACATGAATTCCCTAATATTCACCTCTCGAAGAATTTCTAGAAGACATATAAGGGTGTACCAATTAGCTGTAATTGTTTTCTGTCCCTTTAACTTGACGGCTTTGACCAGTCCTATATTTCAGAAGAAAATCGCATATGCTACTTTTTTCACTGTTCATTGTCTTTTCACTATTGTTAGTTAAAGGTCATCTTCAAAGACCCATACTTTTAATTCTTGATGTGCTGGAATGTCAAAAAATGGTATGTATGGTTCATCACTAGTTCTGATACTACAAACAATAATACTGTTTCCACCATAATTATGTAATTTTAAGATTTCTTTATTGATTCTGACGCATTCTGGTTTACATTGGTTTTAATGACAAACTAATATTTTCATATGAAATACTTCATGAATAATTTTATATACAGCTGTGGATCTAATTCTTTCTGTATCATTTAATTGATACAGCAATTATCATTAGTCAACATTTTTTGTATAGCTGATACATATTCTGGGACTACAGCCGACAAAGGATTCCTGTAGACTCCTCAGCAAGAAGATAATTTTAACTTTTATAAAATGCTATAAATCACCTGTGGCATGAGATGAAGCTTCATTTCCATGTAGAAATTAAAGGCATTCTCTTTGATTTTGCCCCATTTCATAGAAAATCACAGCACAACTTTCAAAATTTATTCTATGACAGATAATTTGCAAATTATTGTCTGTGGACATAAAAGAGTTTAAATTTACATGTCTAAAACAGAATTACTTTTTAAACACATATTGTCTGTCCCTGTCTCAAAATTTTCAGAGTTACCCAAGTTAAATTACAAAACTGCAGTTAGAATGAATTAAATGTAATTTTATTTAAACAATCGGATTAAAAAGTAAAAACATATTATTCAAAACTGCATATTGCATTTAAATCAGTTTATTAATTAATAACAAATTAAATATTTTATGATTTTCCAAATGGCAAAACATTAGCAGGTAGATGGAAAATAGAAGTATTTCACTTTGAGCAGCTGAAACACACTGCTCTTAATTAACTAAGTTTGTTGATTAAACTTCAAAGATACATGTTTTACACTCTGCCAAATGGCAACACACTGGCATGTGGAAAATAAAAATGCTTTATATCAACATCATTAACAACACACTGCTTTTAAATAGCTGAGTTTGATAACCAAAAATTCATTTACTTCATACAAAACACGAAATATATTTTAAAAAATAAATAAATAAATAAATAAAAATTAAAAATTTGGATTTCAAGGTGAAAGACATGCATTCAAAATTTGGTAATTCTAGATGGCACTGCTACCAAATGTTTGACAAAACAGAGAATGATTTAAAACTAATAATAATATTCAAATTCTGAGAGCTCTCAACATATTTAAAATAAAAAATGGTAATTTCAAAGCAACTGCAATAAATCACCTATACATGTGATCTTAGGAGTTTTAATTATGGCAACCTTTACTTTTTGTGTGTGTGTTTTCTGTTTTTTAAAGTTAGATTCTAATGTTTAATTATTCACAACAAAGATATTCAATATGATTTTTTAAATTTATATTTCATTAGCAAATTTGTTTACTTTTAATAAGCCATCCACTGAAAAAGAACCTGTTCTGTTCTTTCAAGATTAGTTTGGTTTATTTAATTATGGCAAAGCCCACTTGTGCTACCTGCCAAAGGGAAGGGATGCCTTCATGGAGGACTTTTTAAGGGAAACTGGCTCGTATACACGTTACACATGGGGAAAACCCTGAAAACACCCATGCAGCCAGCCCGTTCGCGGGATTCGAACCTCGGACCAAACTACCAGTGTTCAGTGACTTTCAGCAACAGGATCAACCAGGTAGCTTTTTTATGTTCATAGAACGTTCGCGCTGCGAGCAACTTGAATCCACCATTTCATAGCACACACCTTGGAAACGCGCTGGGAGCCGGGTCCAGACGGCTCCCTCTTTTATTTCATATGCACAATTTTTAACCTTCTTTGTGCTGGGGATAGGGGCTTGTAATCGTTCCCCTTGAACGAGGAATTCCCAGTAAGCATGAATCATAAGCTTATAGCATGAATGTTGTATAATAATAATGTCAATATTACTAAGCATGTTGATTATGTCCCTGCCCTTTGTACACACCGCCCGTCGCTACTACTGACGAATGATTTAGTGAGGTCTTCGGACTGGCTCTCGAAGTGGCTTTTGGGTCGCGTCGGCGTGCCATAAAGATGACCAAACTTGATCATTTAGAGGAAGTAAAAGTCGCAACAAGGTTTCCGTAGGTAAATCTGCGGAAGGATCATTACCGATGATCAGATTCATCTGGCAAAAAACATTGGTGAAACTCGGGGAGGGAGGTTCGCCTTCCTTCCCTGTGCTGCACGCAACAGAGTGGCGTGGAAGCACAGAAAAACTTTGAACTTGAATTGAAAATTTTTTGAAATCCCAAGTGGTCTCGTACCCACATTGAGGTGCCTAGTAGATTTCCCGGTCGCATCATGACGACAAGAGGGACGTGTTAGACTTTCGGGTCCAATGCTAGGTTTATTGAGTACCAGCGTAGATGGTGGGCCGCCTCGCAGGTATGTTATCCTGGTGAGACCCTCTGAAGGAAGAGCGACAGAGAGCTCGCGACTTCGGTTGACTTCTGGAATGAAATTTTACAATGAACATACATTATAGATAAAAAATTTCTAAAAACTTCTTTTCTGACCACATTATGTTTTATCTATTACTGGCTGGGAAAAAAATGGATACTGTTCTGTTATCGGAGCTGGATTCAGAAATTTATGAATGTATGTGCGTGTGTATGTATTGCATGTGCATATATGTGTATATGCTATACACATATATACACATGCATACATAAACACACACATCCATACATACACGCATGCATACATCATACATTTCTGGATCAGGTCCTGATAACAGAACAGTACTAAAAAATGATATCAATCAAGTAACGTCAGAAACAGTTAAATATTTGTAATACTACAACTGACTGGAACATCTTTCTGAGGGAGGATTGCGCAACATTTGGTCAAAGTTACTAAAAGCCAAATTGGAGGAACCAATCATATTGTCAAAATTAACAACAGTTTCTTTGCATGTAAGAAAAACAATGCCAGAAGGATCTTATCTAGACAGTGGATATCCGGAAGCATGTGCAATGAAATAAAAGGATGCTTCTCTGCTGAAATAAAAACTATTGTTTGTAATTTCACCTCACTGAATTTGTGTAAAGTATAATGGCTGAGAATATGATCTGAAAACTGCTCATGCAATAATTGCAGAATTATGTTCTTTTAACAAGATTTTAGTGTTGCATATTCTGGTTACTTCAAAGATTTTCAGTAAAAAAAAAAAGGAGGGGGGGAGAAAAAGGAGTTTCAGAAAACAAATTTTTCAATGTTGATCATTTATTACCAATCAATGGAATTGACAGTTGCCGTTTATAAATATTGAAGATTCTCTTTTCTTGTTCTTTTAATTCCTCTTCACTTGCATTTCTACTCTAAAAAAAGAAGGGGAAAAAGTCAATATTAATGTAAACTTCAAACTGTTTAAACTGAGGCAAATCTAATGAAAACAGTGAGAAAAATTATCTATAGAAATACTTACAAAAAACAATTCACAGATATATATTTTAAAATTTCATAGTATAATTTTACAGACCCTTAACTAAATCTTGTGTGATTAAACAAAACATACAAGAAGTAAAATAGTTTGCTTTTACAAACATAAAGAACTAACACTAGTAAAAAAATTAATAAATAAACAAACACTGCAATTTAATAACAAATACACATTATCTCTTCAACAGAGAATATAAATAAATGATCAAAACAAAATTCTAAACTTAAGAAACTTCAACTCCTCCATATTAATTTCCAGAGGAGTGCATTAAGGGTTCATACATATTTCTGCATGTGGAAATTAAGTACTTTTAAGGATCATCAATAAAAATAATTAAGGACCTATCAGCAAAAAGGAACAATTGCCCAGTGGCAAAGTGGCTAGCGCATCGCACAGCTGCACCACAGGTCCGGGGTTCGATCCCTGGGCTGGGCAAGGTTGATTCAGCCTTTCATTCCCCTAGTGGGTCGATAAAATGAATACCAACTTTGCTCGGGAACTAAACACAAGGTCTCCTAAGACAAGCTGACGACTTGCTCAGGGCATACACTGATGCACTTCGGGGCCCAAGGTCAATAAAGCCGATTTTGGGGCACTAAAGGCCATGGCCCACTAAGGCTGTTGTGCTGAGTTTCCTATTTAGCAAATAGGAACTGAGTAAATTAAAGAAATTATCTATGGCTGAATTTCACTTTTGTACTTTGTAAGAATAAAACAAATCTATAAGTAGAATGCATTATTATTAAATCTAATCTAATATTTATAAAATCAACTTCATAATTTTTTCAAGTAATTAGCATTAAATTATAAAATTTCCTGAAATGTTTATACACTCACTTCTAAAAGTTAAGCACGAAGATGTAAAATGCAAAAAATCAACAAATACTGCTTTGATTGACACAAAATTTGGCAGGAAAGTCGCATATATATTTATGCATAAAACATCAATAATTAGATACAGAAATGAAAACAATATTAAATTTTTTAAGTTATCAGATAATGACATACTGGAGACTTAAGCAGAATTAGGTATAAAGTGAAAATAAACAGCATAAATGGGAAAAAAAAAAAAAAAAAGGACAAATTAATAGGTATGTGATCCCCCCCCCCTCTCTGTATACAAAGTTTACACTTGTGACCATGCTTTCCAGGGTTCATAGCCACATTTAGTTTTAAAAAATAAGCACCTATAAGCCTTTTTCACACATTTTAAAAAAAAAAATAAGCACTGTCTAATTACATTATACACAACTGCATAACCTTAAAACTAGACTTGTAATTTAAAATATGAAAAATGCAGTATTTATTAAGAGAGAATAAGCATTACCTCAACCATGGAAATAATTACTTTTTTTTTTTTTTTATAACAGTTCAATTTACAGAGCTAGTTTACAATGAGAGAAAAAAAAAAATATGCAGAACTAAACTATATTACAAATTTAATGATGAAATTCAGTTCAAATAGAGAACATAAATAATAATAAGGTTATTTTATTGTATTGCTTGGAACCCTAATAAAAAAAATTTATTTTTCCACTCATATGATATTTAAATAATTTAAATCTAAATTCTGAACATTTTCTAAATTTTCATTGTATATCAGTTTTCCCTAACGATACTGCGAGCAAGTAATTTAAGTACAACAGAGGAACATTTCTGAAATCAGAAATTTGCTTCATGCGTCATCCTTTAACAGTAAAGCTTAACTAACCTGCACACTTGGAAATTGGCGAATATTTGGACAGTCGAGCGTAACTTGAAAAAGAGGAGCGGAGGGGAGTAGACTGTAGCCGCTCTTTAGATTTTTCCGCTAAATAAATGCTTTGACATTTCCATATGTGCATCATATAAAACCAATGGAACTGAAAAATATTCTGCTTAGCAAGCACAGTAAAACTCTTTTAAGTGTTCATAAACAAATAGATTCGGATAGAACATCAAAATTAATTATCTCGGCAAAATATCGCAAACATTATTGCGCAATACATGCGCGGTAATTCTTGCGTGATATTATGCAATCGGAATCAACAGCTGCCGGTATTGGAAGAATAAAGAACTAAATAACTGGGGTGTTTTTCATTCTAATTTTCAATAGACGGTGTTAAATTTCCAGAACAGAATCATTCTTCGCTTGGGTTGGTAGACCGCAGAACTTTTAGTTCTATTCAATCCAGATTGGAAAGTGACAAAAAAAAAAAAAAGTCCGTTGCTTGTTTTGCAGGGAACTGTAACAGTTTCAATATTCGAGATTTTGCGGAGAAAGGAGAGAACCTCCCAATCTTCGTACTGTATAATGTATTGGCCCAAAAAATGAAATTATTTTGACTATTCGATTACTTTCCCTTTATTTAAGCCATTCCGAATAATATTCTTTAGAAAGCTAATCTGTGTTAAAACACAACCATTTTTGGAAGTTTACTATACTTCAGCAGTTATTGCAACTATGTTATTATAAACATTCATGCATATTCTCAGAATATAAGCATAACGATCATAATAAACACGAATATGAACTGACCAAGCGGAACGAGAATGCAAATTATTAAGTTCTTTATAGAAATTCAAACATGGGTAGTATTTGGGTGGGAGGAAAAGAATGGCAAATGGACCGGAATTTTCTAATGCTTTCGCGATTCTTTTACTAATAGAACGACGGGCACCTGTCTGTACTCTTCGTGCAGACCAAAGGTTATGATAATGCAGAGAAAGGGGGAAAAGCTATTTCCGGGAGTATATTTCACATCTGACATTCCATGTTAGGAAGAAAATTGTTTATTTAGTTTTGGCTTTGGTTACGGGAAAATATCACGTTCATTAAAAAAAAAAAAAAAGCACTAAAAGCAAAAAAAATAAGCACTAAAAAACAAAAAAATAAGGGCTTTAAAAGAAAAATAAGCACCTATAAGGGCCTTTATATTTTATTTTCAAATATAAGGACTTATAAGCACTTATAAGGACTGCTACGAACCCTGCTTTCAATTAGGTGGTCAACCACTGCATAATTAAGCAATCGCCATTCTTCTTGTAGAGCAGTTTCCAGCTCAATAAGAGTGGCTGGAGGTGGAAAACATGAAGATACAGCACGGCTGAGAGCATCCCGAAGATTTTCAATGGGATTAAGGTTGGGCGAATACACTGTCCATGCCATACGCGCAATCCCTTCACTCTCCAGGTAGCCATCGACGATGTCAGCTCTATGGGGACGTGTGTTATCGTCCATTAAAACAAAAGTAGGGCCAACTGCTGCAGCATACAATGGGTTCTAGGACTTCATCTGGATACCGGACAGCTGTCAAAGAACCCTGTTTAAAGATGTGCAGGTCGGTACGGTATCCTAATGAAATCCCTGCCTACAACATAATGCTTCCGCTTCGGAATGCGTGATCTTCGTGATGTTTGGGACTGATTGTTGTGTTCGTGTTCACGCCACATCCTTATACACTGTCATCTGGCTCCAGAGCAAATCTTAACTCATCAGTAAACATGACATTCCCCAGTCAGACATATTCCAATTGACATGTTCCCGGCACCACCGTAATCGTACCCCTCTTGATTGGATGGATCACAAACTCGAGGTACCCGGGTGTACAGTCCACTCATACGTCATCTTCGGCATACAGTAGCTGCAGATATCACCTTACCAATGGATGCTGTAACCATAGATGTCCCACATGTGGAGGTCGCTCTGCGATTCCGCTTGGTTACAATAGCAATATATCGATCTTCCGCGGGGGGTTGTAACCCTTGGGCGACCGGCTTCGGGTCTTCGGACAACTGTCTGTGTAGTTTGGAATTGTTTCCATAAACATGAAATTACAGGATGATGAATGCCAAAGAAAGAGCAACATCTGTGGATTGACTGTCCTACTACTTTCATGCACCCACACACCCAGAGCTTAGAATCTCCATTCGTTTCTAGAGTCATAGAAACGTATGTCTTGAAAACAAATTGTACGAAAGTTTTAAACACTTCTATCAGCACTTACAATTAAACTCTGTAACCCTTCATAAAAGCTGGCTTTCTTATAAGACTGCCTCTTTTTCAAATTTTCTTGACATGAAAGTGCAATTGGCTGTTACCTAACATTGCAATACTTCCCTCTACACTGCAGCGAATTGCATCCTCTTCAATTCCGATTGGCTTCCGGAAATTAGCATTTTCCTCTCCATGCTTAACTTTTGGAAGTGAGTGTATTTTATACTTATAATAATCCCATATATTTTAAAGAAGATTTAGGACTTTTTATTTAAATTTTACTAAAAGTTAGCTTTATAGTGATTCCATCTTTTATGCCTCATTTCACTCAGTCCAGAGGTTTATCAAGATTTTATGGCAAGTAGAATAAATTGAGAAGTAAAATAGTTATCACCATGGCTATTAACAAAAACTTGGCTGTTGCCATGGTGGCTGCTTAGAGAAAGAGAGCTGCTGATCAAAAAAAAAAAAAAAAAAAAACACAAATGCTTAACATAGGTACAGCTAGTAAGCGTTGAAAGTTAGTTGCACTTTGTCTGTCTGGCCTAGTTAGTGTCACAGCTTCATGTAGATCTGCTGGAGTTGTAACTCAGTTAATATACAATGTTTAATATAAAGTTCCAATAAACCACTGATGCACCAGAGATGATAAGTTGTTTTGTATTACTATTTTAAGTCTTATTAGCTGTAAGGAATAAAGTTTTATGTTAATTTTTACATTTTGGGTACTTATGTATTATCCCATCGAACGTAAAAGCTGATTACCAATGAACTACGAAAATTTATGGAGATCCTGCCAAAGTTGCTCCAATCTTTCCTACAAAATTCTGAAGGAACTGATGGCTCTTTATTAAATAAACAATCCACCAGCTTTGTTTTTGCTGTCAAAAAGGCTTTCAGTG